TATATATATATATATATATATACATACATACATACATATATATATATATATATATATCACAGGCATGATCAATGAAGAACATCACTCAAAGCAACACAAACATGGTAAATTCCGAAACTACTCGCGCCACCTGTGGAAACCTGGCCATTCTAGGCGCATCGTCCATCACCATGTCTATACTAGATTCGGTGTTGCAGGAAGTGTTGCTAGCGACACTTGTGGTTGGCTTGAGTGTCAGCGCGGGCTGTAAGTTTAGCAAAGCGTTGACCTTCTCCGCTGTGTAGCCGGTGGGGCGCTCTGGGATAGTGGGGGCAGCCTACCAGACAGACAGGAGACGTTTGGAAGCAGAAGCAACCCATGGGGTACACACACATACACAAACACAGAGAGAGAGAGAGAGGTCGATATTTTACGGAATGGACTTGTTTTGTAGAAGTGTGCGGAGGTACAGATGACAGATGTCGCATCGTATCCATGAGTACACTCTGAATGCAATTTCACTCATTTGTTGATACAAATTCATTCAATTATCGATTTAACTTCACTCGATTGTTGATACAATTTCATTCGATTGTTGATTCAACTTCACTCGATTGTTGATCCATACCCAATAAGCGATGGCGTAGTTCAAAACTCGGTGGCCTGCCTGTACAACTAAAGTCTCAGCATACCACATGTACACACCACTTACCTTGCGCTGAGCTACAGGCGTGGTAGCAGACGTGACCAAGTGCGACAGGATCATGGCCGTGTGCGAATTATCAGGAGTATTCCTCGCCCTCAACTCAGCAGCTTCCTCAGCGCTATGCTGTGTGCAATCCACGTGTGAATGCTTATTGCGGTACGGTGATGGAATACCGGGACGAGGTCGCGCGAACGGTTGAGGTCTTGATGTCAGCTGATGAGCGTCTGGGCCCTTGACACTCCCAACGGTGCTTTGCACACTGCCATGTTTACTGACAGGTGTCATCTCCAGCGTTGTACATGACATGTCCATGTCACTGCGGTCGGTGAATGGTACACATTTGATACCGTGTTCCTTGTTTGCTAGGGCTGTCATCGGTTTCGCTGTGAAAAGGCACGGACGGTTCGAATGAAATACATATATAAAATCGATACGACATATCTAGTTACATAATCAATTTGGTAAATTTAAATATACAATTAACATGATAAATCTAATTAGTTCTCTCATCGCACGTGTCTGGGTGTGCATCAATAGAAGAATGAATGCACCATATACAGTTAAGACTGAGTGCACAACTACGTCTGACTGGAAATTGGCAAATGGCGTACACACATTCGACACAGCACTTGCTGGTCCGTGAAGGAAGCTTTCATATTGACAGGAAAACAATGTTTGACGAGCACAAAACAACGTCCAACAATATCACAACACAAACGTTTGAAGACCATCCGTGAATTCCTATGTACAGCAGTCACACCTGGCAGAGCAGACACACTCAGTTCGTGCCCACGCGCAGCTGCGGCTATCAGAATGTTAGCGACTACGTCGACTGGGATGCAGTGCATCTCATACGTACCGTTGTATGGGACCACCGACGTCAAAGGCTTTCCCCGCAGTGCCTGTGGGAGTTTATGGACAGATGGGCAAAGGCAGCGGAGAGGGGGCCATTAATTGGGTCAAGGAATAGTAAATGCTTTGTGGTGTTGTGGGTGTAGAATGACCAATAGAATTGGAGCATGGTGAAACATCAGATCTCCAACTAGGCATTTGTACACAGTCCACCTATAATGTAACAGAAAGACTAAAGACTTACTTATCTCACCTAACTAAACTTAACGTTATCTATCCTAAGTGCCTTGTAGCAGAAGATCAAACATTACTTATCTCACCACGTTTACTCATCCCACGTACGTTGCAACAGAAGATTAATCTATACTTATCTCGCCTAACAAAACTTAACGTTTACTAATCCCACGTATCTTGTAGCAGGGCATCAAAGACTACTTATCTTATCTAACTAAACTTAACGTTTACTCATCCCACGTACCTTGTAGCACAGGAATGCGGCATTGACTCCTCGCATGTCCATTCCCCACCCCCGCGGCACATAGTCAAAGCCCAGCGCATTTGTCACAATCGCCGGTCGAACAATAGACACTAACGCATACGGACACAAAGAAAGAACGCGTTAAAAGTTCGCCCTACGAGCTTCAGAGACAGAGAGCAGTGGCACACCGGAGCTTTGGTGATGTGGAATAATACCAGCCACACGCCTTGACTGAAAGGGCCTACCTTATAATAAGCTTAATTTAAATGAACGAGCTGGTCTTAAATGAATGAGCATACCTTTCACACGGCAGTTCGGTACCTTAGCCACTTGCTCCGCAATGATCACCTCAGCCAGATACTTGCTGTAGGTGTATCCGTTGGGAAAGCTCTCTGCCTGTTGTGTGCCGTGAGGTATGTGTCAGTGTCAGTGACCTGTCACATCACGGTGGTCCCCTGAAGTGATACTGCATCGGAGGTTCGTTCGCCAAACGCACTCGGGTGTCTAAGAATGTACACTGATGCAATCTCATACACTTCTACACTTCTACACTTGTGTAATCGTCTATCTGTTTACAGGTGCATATGTTTGGTTACCTAATGTGTAGTGTGTACAGAGGGTGTTCTTCTAGTGTAAGATGACCATATAATGTGTAGCGTGTTGATATGGTGTTGTATTGGTATAGTGCTGGGCATTTGGCCACGCAATTAACGGGTAGGCATTCATACCGGTGAAATAAACGTGCGTAAGTACTAAGAGTATCAGTGGCTTAGTGAATGAGAGACCTCAGCCGCTAATTTGAACAAACGCTCAGAACAACGTATTGGAAACAATTTACGAGAGTCCGCACCTACAATTGAAGGGGCGAGTGTTTAGGCAACGGACACACACAGACAGCAGACATACAAAGACAACAGACATACACAGACGCCAGACATACAAAGACAACACACATACACAGATAACAGTATTTCCCAGACAGCACACATACACAGACAACAGACATACACAGACAAAAGACATACACAGACAACAAACATACACAGACAGCACACATACACAAACAACAGACATACACAGACAACATACATAAACAGACAACAGACATACACAGATAACAAACATACATAGAAAACAGACATACACAGTCAACACACATATACAGGCAACAGACATACATAGACAACAGACAGACACAGTCAACACACATATACAGACAACAGACATACACAGACAACAGACATACAGAGACAACAGACATACACAGACAACAGACATACGGAGACAACACACATACACAGACAACAGACATACACAGACAACAGACATACACAGACAACAGACATACACAGACGACAGACATACACATACATAGACAACTGACCTACACAGACAACAAACATACACAGACAGCAGACATACACAAACAACAGACATACACAGACAATATACATAAACAGACGACAGACATGCACAGACAACAGACATACACATACACAGACAACAGACATACAAGACAACAGACATACACAGACAACAGACATACAGAGACAACACACATACACAGACAACACACATTCACAGACAACATACATATACAGACAACAGACATACACAGACAACAGACATACACAGATAACAGACATACACAGACAACAGACATATACAGACAATACACATACTCAGACAACACACATACACAGACAACACACATACATATACAACAGACATACACAGTCAACACACATATACAGACAACAGACATACATAGACAACAGACATACACAGTCAACACTCATATACAGACAACAGACATACAGAGAAAACAGTACTACACGGACAACTCACATATACAGACACAGATAACAGTAATTCCCAGACAACGCACATACACAGACAACAGACATACACAGACAACAGACATACACAGTCAACACACATATACAGATAACAGACATACGCAGACAACACACAAACACAGAAAACAGACATACACAGACAACACACATACACAGACAACACACATAGAAAGATAACAGTAATGCACAGACAACTAACATACACAGACAACAGACATACACAGACAAAGACATACACAGACAACAGATATACAGAGACAACACACATACACAGACAACACACATACAAGACAACATACATACACAGACAACATACATACACAGACAACAGACATACACAGACAACCGACATACATAGACAACAGACATATACAGACAATACACATACACAGACAACATACATATACAGACGACACACATACACAGACAACACACATACATAGAGAACAGACATACACAGTCAACACAAATATACAGGCAACAGATATACATAGACAACAGATATACACAGACAACACACATACGCAGAAGACAGACATACACAGACAACATACATACACAGATAACAGTACTGCACAGACAACTAACATACACAGACAACAGACATACACAGACGAAAGACATACACAGACAACAGACAATACACAGACAACAGACATACACAGACAACAGA